CTGATGGCTTCCCCAATAAGTCAGTGGGGAAGCTGGCAGGGAAGGTTGCAAGTACTGGAGTAAGTCTCCATCACCCACACATCTTCCCCAACTCCTCCGCACTTGCACTTGCAGGCTATTCAGGAACTACTGCACAACCTCTGCCTTCTTGCTGCACCTGCCTTCCACACCCTCCCTGAGCCTTGTGGCATCACTCTCACACGCCCCTAGTACCTCCCTGAGCCTCATGCGTCTCTCACCAGTTACACATCCCCTCACTCACTCCCCCATGCAGTAGCAACCACTCCAAGCCTCGCTAAACAAGAACTACTTGTATCTTATATAAGTGACAGGGTGGGAATAATTTCAGATGTTTAAACATGAACGATATCATTAAAATGGCAGTGTCACTGCATATATGAATTTCCCATATTGTCAGCATAGAAGAAATGCACAACTGCCTGATTTGCATAATAAAGGGTAATAAACACACTAGGGAAAAATGACATTTCTTTAATTCCATTCCTTTACTTCTTATAAGGTCTGAATAATTATTTCAATCTGGTATGCAATCACAGCGAGTTTTGCTTTCATTTATTTTCAGACTGGAGTAAAACAGCAACTAATATAATAAAGAAAAGTTCAGACAATCTGGGAAAATCCTTATCTTCCAGTTCTATTGGTTCTAATTCAACATACCTGACTTCAAAATCCAAATCCACATCAAACACCTACCATAAAAGGAACAGCCATTCTGGTCAGTAGTTTTCAATATGAAAAGTGTAATTGTTAAACTATCTACCTGGAATAGCTTGCTTTAGATTGATGTAGAACGTTAGGTAAGTTATGCACTAGAAATGCATCCATAGGAATTAACCATAATTTGGCTGGGATTCCTCTGCTTTAATAGTATTTTTTTCCAACAGCCAATTCAAGTAACATATGTTGGCAGAAGGCTCTCAAGCCTCACATGCTATTGAGTTATCTTTAAGATAACCAAAAGCTAAAACTTATCTAAAACTAAAACAGAGTAAGATTGTTGACACTTTTCAACAAAATACTGCTAACATTCCTTTTTCGTATAAGTAACATTTCTTTTAAATTGTGTTTATTTTACTTATCAAATGTCTATATTCACTTAAGTCACTTTGGGTGGTTTACAGTTTTAAAAAAAACCCATTGTATTGAATGCAATAAAATTTTCTCTGAAACTGTTTTAAAGTGTTTACAATTATTGGCATGTAATACCCCATTGGATTAATTGCAAATAGTCTTTTTAGTGATTCATTAAATTTGAATCAACATAAGTGAGTAATTTGATGAGTTGTTGTGCATTAAAGCTTTATTCGCAGATGTTCTACATTACATAATAGATTTTCTTGAAGTATCTGAAGGTGGTTATTTGTCCTTGCTCATGATACAGCTTATTGATCTCTTTTTAATATAAATGACAACAATAATATGTTTGTGTTATGTGCAAAATTTGTAAAATACAGTTTATGTTAATCTTTCATTCTGTATTAACTGTTAACTGCTTGAGTACACCTATGTAAAATACAGTTATTCAAATTGGTATGTTGTGCTTAAGCACAGCATGTTTAAGCATCATTTAGTAATGTATGTGGTGGTGGATATCTCCAAGTAATTGTTGAATTATTTCACTATTCTCCAAAATTGATTCAGCTGCTCATATGTTTATGGTATAGATAATGTCTTCTAAGAACATATCCTCACCAGTGGTCGAACATTCAAGGTAAAGTGTATATCACATTTGCTGAATGCATGATTTCCAAGCGCTTGCATAAGGACACTTGCATGAAGTTTGAATCAGCACAAAAAGATTAACTAATCATACATATTGCTTCATTCTATACTGTGCATCTTTCTCTGTCATTAATTCTGGCTGACTACAATTTGGTACACAAGAGTGCTTTCGATTATGGTTAGCATGAAAATGAAACATTCAGGATTGTTTGAGGTAAACATCTAAGCGAAACAACCTCATAAAATGCATATTGTTAGGTATGCATTTTTGTCTAGTAGCTGACAAGAAGAAAATGAAAAAGACACCATTAAAGTGATTCACCTAATTTGTAATAATGTCTGCAAGAAATTACTGTATTCTCTGATGCTGAACATTTTTCAAAATGTTAGAAAAAGCTTTCAGTTATCAGCCTACTTAGATTTTTAAAATATGCAGTGAATGTAGACGGTATACTGGTTCAGCATTTATTGTAATATTTAGCCAACCTAATGAAAGTAGAATGAATTTTGCTGGATTCAGCTATCATACAGTGATCAACAGAGAATCTCAAAAAGCTTATAGGTAGAAAATGAGGAAATTGTCTTCTTCAAATATTGGTCCCTGACAGTTGGTTTAAGCCATGCTGCCTTTGAGCCTTAGCATAACATATAACTATTAAGCTATTGCTCCTGCTCTCTATGAATATGTCTAGCTCTGAGGGCTTAGACTTGCCACCTGCCAAGTCACTGTCTATGGTCCATGGGCTCTCAATCCCATGTACTCTCCTTTTTAAAAATCCAACATATACATGTTCATAATCCAGTCATTCAATTTTAGCCTTCCAAGAAAGGGAAAAATCATTATGAACATGAAAACAGGCTGCTGCCATCCCCTTCCTGCAGGGCCTACCTTCCTCAATCTGGGTAGGAGAAGTGGTCGTGAGGATGGCATCTGGGAGTGGGTCAAGCTATTTTGCATCAGCTGCCGAAGCAGTCTCCAGCCATCAGAATGGAGAAGATCTCGCCGACTGAGGGGAGAGAAAGAAAGAAGGAAGGAGCTGGGAGAGCCTGAAATAATGGTGAAAGCTTCTCCACTTATCATGGTGGGGGAGAAGTGAACCTATGAAAAGCCTGAGGGCTGGAGTATCATCATACCACTGAGTTGCTGCAGTACATTTTTTTCTACGGCAGATATGAATGAGCAAGTCTGAGCATTTCCCTTTGGCTCCTCCTTTGCCACCTGCTTGTGGAAGAAGAATTGGAAGGAAGAGTAAAGACTACAGTTCTCTATTCCCCCCCTCCCCCATTTCACACATGGATTTTGAGGAATAAAGGAAGAGAGGAGGAAGAAATTTATTACATCATCCCAAATAACCTGAGGCCACAATCCGGGAGATCATGAACTAGCAAACATATCTTAAGTTAATATGACCAAAATGTAGCATGGAAGGCTAGATAGGTGACTTGGAAGTTCCCTTAAGGTGAGATCTGGAAAAAGCCCATTTGAGGCCATTATTATTAGGGCTAAACGATCAGAAGGAAGGATGTGCAATAAACCTGGCTGAGGTACCTTTTAAAGTAGTGGCTCCCAACCTTTTGGGCACCAGGGACTGGTTCTGTGGAGAGGTGCTTTTCCGCGGACCGAAGGGGGCATGGTTTTGCATGCTGCCTGCATCCCTCCGATGGGGCTTTGCTTGTTTGTGGAGACCAGTTTCTGGCATGCCATGGACTGGTGCCAGTCCATGGACCGGTGTTTGGGGACCCCTGTTTTAAACCAGGGGTCTCCAATCTTGGCAAAGTTAAGACTTGCGGACTTCAATTCCCAGAATTCTGCGAGTTGAAGTCCACAAGTCTTAAAGTTGCCAAGATTGGAGACTCCTGTTTAAAAGGACTGATGAGGGATTTGTGAAATTCTCTATTCTTGTTCATCTTTTGCCTCCACAGGCTTTGAAGACTTGAAAGTATACCCCAATGGAGGGATGGGGCAGGAATTAATGGGTCTTCCTTAGATAAAATGAAGCTTTCTTTGGAAAGATTGTCTGCTAATGGTGCTGAGCTACAGAATCCAGCATCCCTTACAATTAGCCAGAGTGGCTAGGTCTGCTGGGAATAGCAATTCATCAACATTTGTAGAGCTACGTGGATTATGGATTAAAGTGGGTTTGTTTAAATAAGTAACTATTTGTATTTATGAATAAAAAGATTTTATTATCCACCCCTCAGGTTAATGAGCTGTTAATGAGCTTCTAAATTTGCTTTTGCACATTTTGGTGGCAGATGCTGTTTTGCTGTCTTGTTCACTACGTTTCACCTCCATGGCTGACTCCAAGTTCCAATAGAGTGAAGGGAAAAACTTTTCTGTATTTTTCATGCTATTGCTTATTTCATATACATCTGATATAAAATTCTTATTGATCTTCCTTCTAAACCCCTAAACACAGTAGAAATCTTTGCTCTAGTGCTTAAATCACAGATTTATATTGAATAAATACATATAATGTAACGTAAGAAATCATAACTTTTCAAAACACATTTTCAAAAATAATACAACAAAACCAAAGTAAGCCATATGAGAATGTTTGCCAAAAAAAAAACATTCTGGCTATATTTTAGCATACCTACACTTATTTTCCATGTTAAAAAAAATCCTGTGCAATTTGCATTTTCTTCATTGCATTTCATAAGTAATTGTGGTTAATTTTAAATCTACTTAATTTTAGCTATACATTATTATAAAAAAATTGAGGAATCCTTTCCCTCTTGTTTATACTTGTGATCAATTTAAGTTTTATATAGTTGCTAGTTTGGGTAAATGAATGCTAAATATTTTAAGGAATATTACTCTTTTGGATAAATATAATATTTGATAGTAACACATACCAATTGTGGTAAGAATTCAGCAGGTAAAATTTTATTCATTAGATACCTATAAAAATAATGTGTTTAGTTGTATATTAAGAGAAACATGATATGAGCACCATCTAATGGTCACATTTAGATCAGCAAAGCTGCTCACTGTCTTGAACTCTCTAGCCTTCTGGTAGTAGTATCTTACTCAAAAGCTTGTTCTAGGTATGCTTGAGGTTGAAGTTACCAGTATGAACACAGCTGACTGAACTCAGTTGGTGTCAGCTGATACTTGAGTCAGTACTGATTATGTCATAGTATAACTCTGCCAAAGTCTGAAACAATATATTTTACCTACTAAGCATTATTGAAAAGGAATTCAGTCAACTCTATCAGTATTGTTATAGATATTCATTGCACCCAGGTCAAAATTACATATCTTAGTAGAAAAAATACATTATCAAGTTCTTTCTCTTTTTAGGTAATATATAATACTATTTATTCTGTGAGAGATGAGTCAATATTACTTTCACAGATATTTAACCACACGTTCTTCTTTCTGGGTTAATCTCTACATCGAAAACTATCCAGTTCACACAAAATGCATTCAAACATTATTCTTCTTTCTCAAAATGTATTAATTAAATGCATTTTGGCACCTTTTATGTAAACAAAGGCATGGTGGAAACTGTGCCTCTCTTAATTTTGATCAGAATTGGTAAACTTCAGTTCTGCCAAGCATCTTTAGCTACATGATAATGATGTGATCATGATATTTTGTTGTCAATAGCCATACCAGCTGATTTTGTACAGCATAAGGGAAACATACAATACAAGCAGCATGGTGGCCTAAAGATGGCGCTCTCAACTCATAATCAGGAGGCTATGAGTTCGATCCTAGTTAGCGGCAAATATTTCTCTCTCTGGATTCAATAAGTTATTGTCTGCTGTGAACTCCATGAAGGCATCAGCAAGGGCATCCAGAAAGTAAATGCTTGTGCTCCTTTCAGGCATCCCAACTCCACCCTGTACAAGGGATTACAGGGTCATTTAAAAAATGGAAGCACATATTATGATCATAACATAATAGAGGGTGAGAGTGCATGTTATTAAAAAATATGAAGCTGTGACTTCCAGTGTCAATTCTATACCTTCTTTACAATTTGAAGTAATGTCACAGTTGGATGCAGCAAAATCACTCTGAAAGTGAGATGAGCAGTACCTAAATTTGATAAATAAACAAAAACCTAAATCTACAGATTCTGCATCTCTGGGGGTGGTTTGACATTTATTTCAATGTAGATAACACAGTCTGTATAAATAAAATGCAATATGAATGTAAATTGATAGTGAGGAACGCAGTCAAAATCCGTTCTCAGCACATAATAAGCTGAGTCCAAAAATGGTGAAACCTGTAGCCATTACTGTTGATTTTAGTGCAACTGTCCTCATTTCAGCAATTGTGATTTTCTTTCCCCTTTCTGGCATGACTCTTAATGAGATAGTTTTTTCTCTTTTCCTTATCCTGAATTGGTTCATACATTCAAAGCGGATAGTTCGTGTGAAATTATCCTGATTCCTGTTCAGAATGAAGCAGATAACATCCACATTCCCAATTCAAAAACAGACTCCAAATGCTTATACCAAACAGCATTTAATTGTGAGTCAGATTACTGCAGTTTGATATCATGGCTTCAATAATGCTGATGCCATTATTTCAGTAACTAGGTAGGTCAGCATAGAAATGTCATCCAATAACTAGTGAACTTGTGTTAAAGCAAAAAAAAAAAAAAAATGGTCAAAAATACCTAATGGTTAGAAAAGATGATAGGAAAACATGTAGATTTTCAACCTGAACTTTTTCTATTAGGTATAGCACCAGAAAAATTTGATAAACAAAATATATATTTAATATTGCATATATTAACAGCAGCAAGGATTATATTTGCACAATATTGGAAAAATGAAGAAATATGAGACAAAGAGATAATTTGGACAGACTTACATGGAAGATTAAACAAAAAGAAGATACAGAATATTATCAAACATGGAATTTATTCTACCAGTGATTGGAAAAAAGGGGTGGAGATCAAGAACGTGATCTGTACTGCTAAGCAAATAAAATAACCCAGACAACACGATGTTTATTAAGCACTAACAAAATGTAAACAATAGAAAATTAATAAAATGTTATTTTAAAAAATGTCATCCAATAACTGAAAGCCAAAGCTAAATATCAGATTATGTAGACTGAAGGAATAAAATTTGATCTGTACTTCTAGATAGATCAGGATATGGTGTGCATACAGTCCAACCCTACTAATTTACAGCTCCCAGAGCACCGGCGGAGCTGGATTTTTCAGGCAGATGATACATATGAAATGTGTACTTTAAGACTTCACATTGTACCTCTTAGAAATACTCTCTCTCACATACATACACACACACACACACACACATTTTACTCCTTAAAACTGCTCAAAATGATAACAATTAATTGAACTATTCAATTACTTGCTAACATTCTGAGAGTTTTTAGGAGTAAATTGGGTGACTTTAATTCTTAGGAAAGCATAAATCACAATTTTGCTACTTCCATTTCCCTGAACCTCATCCAAATGGCTTATTAGTAATTGCTGCCCTAGAACAGAAAAAGGATAAAATGTTATAAGAAAATAATAAAGGAAAAGCTTTTAATGTATGGTTGCTAATGTGCAATATAAAGCTTGTTGTAACTATCAGACTGGCAGCTTACTCATGGTATGGATTGTAAAAAGAAAACCAGAATTCGGAACAAAAATAAAAGGGTATCATATACTTTGTAGTATTTACTAAGGGGTTGTCTGAGGTCATCCTCTTGGCAGTAAATTTTGTTTTCAAAATTACTGACTTGTTTTGTTTTGTCTTGTTTTTAATCAGACAATGTTTTTCTTGACAAGCCTTCAACAAAATACATCCAAGTGGACATGGAACAGACGTCAATCATCCCAGTTCACCAAGTCATTGACAAAGTGAAAGGTTACTACAATACTCAATCAGACAATTTCTATAGAAATGTGATCATGTCAGACTCCCTGAGCCACAGTACAAAATTCTGAATATCTGGGTATCTGGAAGAAGACAAGTCAACAAGCAGAATAAAGATTATTAAGTGTTGAACGTGTGACTGGCAAAAGATATAAACTTTACCAAAGTGTTGTGCTTTATCCAGTTATATAAGCTTTTCAGCTACCTATACTTGGAGAAACAGAACATCTAATCAATTCTCTCCACTCTCTTATCAACAGTTCTCAAGCATCTAACAGTGACATGTTTATTAATCCCATCTATAATCTTGCAAAGTTAAGAATCTTGAAAAAGCCCAAAACTAAAGCTTGTAGCTTTCGAAGACATTTTCAAAGCATGCTGTTAAGATGTTGCATCAACCCACATTTTCTTCTGTGATATATATGTATGTCTGTGTGCATATGTAGCCTTACACAGGGAGGGCTATCCAATTGTGCATGTCAATAGGTATAAATGTATTCCCTTGGATCATGTAATCAAATCTACTCTGAAAAGAGGGATAATAGCATATTCTGCTTGCAGCATCAGCAGAGGTCTGTTTGCATAATGCTAGAGAGGTCATTTGAGATTTTATAGATGTTTTTTTCTCCACAGACAAGGCAAAGAAAAATTATTTTTAGTGAATTTATACTTTTTTGTGCCTGATTACAGAAATCAAAAGTGTTTCAAAGATTATCTTTCTCTCGATCTTAACTCTTGCTTGCAAACTCTGGGCCATATTTATTATTTTATTATTTTTTAATGGTAGAAGCATTGAAGTGTGCTTCTGTGATTATGGGAAAACTTAATGAAGTGTTTTATATAACTTGAAAGCTTGCCTAGTTATAGATCAAAAGAAACTGAGCGGTTAAACTGAGCACAGTTGCTATGCATCTTCATCATGATCAAAGAATAGAAATTCTGAATCAGTCCAATATTATATATGAACTTCCATCAGTTTTTCCTAATTTGCTTTATTTTCACATCCTTATATATGTGGAATTCCAGGATGGAACATGGTTTTCCATTGATTTATGCCTTAAGAGCAATGTTTATTAACCTGTACAAATCAAGTTACTGCCTTACACCTTTTCACCCAGATAGACCTTTTCCAAGATATGTATTGACACATACCTAACAAGAAATCTTTATCATTTCAGATATACACAGCTGCTGAAACAATTGAGATTTTCACACGTAAGCATAGCGGTCATGCCATCTATTCTTCCCTTCATATAGTATTTTGAATTACAGATTGTATTATTATATACTCTGTAGCAAATATACTTAGATTTACTAAAGTCAGTATGCCTCATCTTTAAAGGAGAAGGTTGTTATATTCATTGTTTACAACCGTAACACAAATTTTCTTTGGGTGAAATTAGCTAAAATAAATACTCCAAATATATATATTTGCACACAAACATACACACACACATGCTAAATATAAAACAATCTGTCACTTGCTCAATTCTTTAGTAACTCTGTGTGCCATTTTATTTAATCTCCCAATAATATATAGAATAATCTCCAGTACGTCTTCTTAGAAATAATTCCAACTGAATACAAGGAGGCTTATTTTAAGGAAAATTTGTACAGAATTGCAAATTTGACCAGTGACTGACAGGTGGTCATAGGATTTCTCCCTCTTTCTATGGCAATAATCTCTGCAAGCTTATTTTCAAAGTAAGTTTCAACTCCATCTGTTATTATAGGTGTTTAACAACTACAATTTATTAATTTGCACCATCAGAATGGTCAAGTTGCCCTGTTACACTAAAGTTGTTTGAACTTCAAACTATTTAATTTGTTTTATAATCCCTAAAAGGTATTATTTATTGCAGGTTAAGGATTTATTTTAATATGAGTGAATGATTCCTCATGACATCAAATTATACCAGAGTCTGATGGGATCAAACAGAGTCTGATGGGATTACTAAAGAGAATGTTTTGTTTATATGTGCCTTCTAAAAAAATTAGTTTATATCTCTCAATAAATTTCAGAAAGTCACTTATGTAACATTTATTCTGGATAAAATATTCAAAATAAGAAGGGAAACTCTATTTCTGTATATGGTAATTGGAAGTAAATAATATTAAAATGGTAAATAAGGCTTTACTTTCATTAGGAAAATTGTAATACTTTAGTTTCCCCTTAAGATGGTTTTATCTGACCAGATTAATGTGAAATGTGTCTATATTTTAGCCAAATAAGAATATTCTTTGCATTTACTACCATGTAGTAATCCTTTAAAATTTATTTCAGATAAATAGTTTTTCTAGTGTTCTTCTTTCATCATATCACCTTTCTTGTATAAATCTTTGGTTTTCTTATCAGCAAAGCTTAACTTTCTTTGTATATATTTATTTATTTCTGAGGTTCAAAATATGTCAGCATATTTCAACTGCACACTAGCTGTCTTTGTATACAAACTTTAAGTGATAAGGAGAAAAATAGGTGTGTGTGTGTGAATATGTCTGCATGTTGGATTTGCTACGTGTACAATTTATTGGATAAGCTTTTGTTTATCACGGAAATACTGATATAATTTCAAACATTAGTTTTTAGGGACTAGTGTACAATTTATAGAAACATTGTAACATCAGTAGTCTCATTAAATTTTTCAAAATTGTGAGTGACTCTTGATTCTTTGCAACCGATCAACAAAATTCTTTAGTAAAATGCTGGAGAATAACCTATTTCTTCCTAGTAGCCGTTCTTAATCAGAATTTGGAGATGGAAGAGTTAAACCAGACACTGTTGCGGTTTGCTGGCAGCCTGTGCAGACGGCAGTAGAGTTGGACAGTGAGGAAGAAAGGAGACCAGTCAGGGAGTCTGGAGAAGACTTAGACGATGGTCTTGCATCCAATGCAGGGATGGGGCCAGGGCCATCTGGGAGTGGGGTGCTGCCTTTGGAGCCTTCGGAGTCTGGTAGCAGTGAAGCAGAGGACCCAGGGGAGCCTGTTCTCAGTGCGCATGTGTGCAAAGCTGATAGAAGGAGAGAGCAGCTGAAGCAGAAGGGGCAATTCGGAAGTAAGGCTGGGAGATGATTGCCCCTACCATAAGGGATAAAAGTCAGACCTCAATGATGAACTCTTTGCAGGAAGCAAAGTAGTTCAACAGATTCCAAGTCCTTGAAGCTCTGTATATTCTGGTCAGTTTTTTCTGGTAGTTCAGTTGGTTTCTGTTATAATTAATTTGGATACTTCTGTTTTTGGCAGCTTTCCACAGCACTGACAGGCATGTGCTTATCTTGGGGAACTGTTTAAGATTAGTTCTGGCTGAGAATGTAAGTAATTCCCAGCATTGCATTAAAATAGGTTTTGCTTTTAAAACAAATTTGTGTTTCATTACTTTGATGAAGCCTGGGTCAGAACAGACACTGAGAGGACAGGGAACTGTAAACTCTGCCTAATGATCGTAGGGTCACAGGAAACTACCTGATTGAAAAGAGGAGGGATGAGATAAGAGGGCAGGTATTTTTATGTATTGTCAGGGAGAAGCAAACAATCTGATCATTATTTTCCAAAAGAATGCAAAATTGCAATTTTAGGCAAATATTTCATCCTTTTCAGATAGTTTGGAACACTAAAATTGTAACATTAAAATCCCAAAAGTGCACTCCCTTTTATCTCCTCAGCCAATGCTTGGCATCACCACAGGCATTTCTTACATATCCATGAATATATAAACATACATTGCACATCTTTATTCCCTACTGTCAGTTTTGAACCATCCTCTAAGTATGTCATTTATTCACATGGAAGTTTTCATCATGTGTCATGGTTTCTGAATTTAGTAGCCAACCTTCCCTTTAACTCCATACTTGAACAAAGCATTCCAAGATTCAAGTCTCTTCACTTTATCCAATAAATATAATAAATCTTTCTCACAATCATATCTTTCTCAGTGACCAGGTGTACACACCAGCCCAGGTCTTCTTGCATTTGCAACATTTTACCCGTAACTGCTTCTACCTTTCCAGGCCAAATTCTGGAACTTTGGCAGTGCAAATGTGCACTTTCCATTCATTCTGACAAGACTTTCTAAGGGGCAAATGAAGATTTTGCATCCACTAAGGATGCAGTCTTCACACTACACACACAAAGTAACATTGCTGCTTCTTAGCCAAATCTTATTCATATTTAAACTTTTCCCCAGTTATACCATCTACTTCTGCAGCTTTACCATTATTCAAGAGTCACACATTTATTAAATATTTTTCAGCACTTTTTCCTTGAACATTAACATAATGTTTCTTACTATCCCACTCTTTCAAATCTCTAAAATGTTCCTTCCGGCAGACCATGATTTCAGTTTAATTCCAAATCATTTTATCCATTTTAATTCCATTTGCTTGCTGGAGGCTTCTTGTCATCTCTTCTCACACAATCCTCTTTCACCACTATACATTACATATTCTCACTCTCATTCTTTGTAGCATTTTCTTGTATCCATTTGTCTTCAGTTCTTCATTTTACCAAGTACCTTTTCATGCTTACCATTAGCAGAACTACACACTTACATGGCACTCTGTAACTTCAGTCTTTTCACTTTGTTTTAAACTCCCTTTAACACCTTTCTTCACATTCAGTTTTTGTTTATTCTATTTTGTTTAGTCTGGTACATTCTCTTCCTGCAGTCATTCCACTTTCACTCTTTCATCTTTCATATCTCTCCCATCATATCTTCCATTTTATTTTTCTCCCCAAATCCTTCCTTTATACTAACAAATAGTTTATCTGGTGTTCAGAGTCTCATCCCCTTCCCTAATGCTCTTAGTCTTTCTGAAACAAATAGCAATAGCACTTAGTCTTATATACTGCTTCACAGTGTTTTATAGCCCTCTCTAAGCAGTTCACAGAGTCAGCATATTGCCCCCAACAATACAGCTCCTCATTTTACCAACTTCAGAAGGATGGAAGGCTGAGTCAGCCTTGAGCTGGTCAGAATCGAACTGTTGGCATTGGCAGAGTTAGTTTGCAACACTGCATTCTCACCACTGCACCACCATGGCTCTTATGCTTTTGTGATCATTATGAAAGGGAGAAAAAGAACTGAGTGACCCCTACTGAAAACATCCAACTCCAAATATTATGATGACCTTGCCCAGATGCTTCATACAGATATTAAAAAGAACAAGAGTGACAGATTGTTTCCCTGTGGAACTTCACAGCCTAGCATCCATGAGGCAAAGTAGAAATCTCTCAAAGCTATATTCTTGCTGCCAAACCAGGTATAAAACTGGACTGGAATGGGTACAGATACATATCAAGTACATATGAAAGTAATGTAATTCTGAGTAAGTATGCATCCAGCAAAGGTTACAGCTTTAAAGTTAGCTGATAAATATTAGCAGATGCATATATGGATAAATACTAATTTCTAGAAGCAAATCATAAGACATAGTTATAATTTTAATTACAATCTTACCAAGTACACCAGCTTATATATTTTTATTTATTTTATTTTTTATTTATTTTATTTTGTCAAGCGATTATAAGATAACAGGTATAAGTATAAGCATGGAAATGGATACATATAAGAAAAAGACATGAAATGGATACATATAAGAAAAAAAAGAAACAATAGGACAGGGACAGTAGGCACACTGGTGCGCTTATGCACACCCCCTACAGACCTCTTAGGAAAGGGGTGAGGTCAATAGTAGACAATTTAAGGTTAAAGTTTTTGGGATTTGGGGAAGAAACCACAGTCAGAGTATTCCAGGCATTGACCACTCTGTTGCTGAAGTCGTATTTCCTGCAATCAAGTTTGGTGCAGTTTACCCTGAGTTTGTATCTTGTGTGCTCTTGTATTGTTATGGTTGAAGGTGAAGTATTCATTGACCGGTAGGACATTGGAATGTATGATTTTATGTTCTATACTTTGATCAGACCAAAGGCAGCATAGTTCTAGGTTGTCTAGGTATAGAATTTAAATTCTGGTAGCATAAGGTATTCTGCAACGAGTAGAGGACTGGAGAACTCTTCTTGTGAAATATTTCTGGACTTTCTTAACTGTATTAATATCAGATACATAATGCGGGTTCCAGACTGATGAGCTGTATTCAAGGATTGGTCTAGCAAATGTTTTGTATGCTCTAGTTAGTGTGATATTACCGGAGAAAAAGCTACGCAGGGTTAGGTTAACAACTCTTAATGCCTTTTTGGCTATGGAGTTACAGTGGGCTCTAGCACTTAGATCATTAGAGATCCAAGGTCCTTGACAGAGTTTGGATCATCAACAAGGTCTTGACTATTCAGCTTGTATTTTATTTTTTGCCAATATGTAAGGCAGAGCATTTATTTGTTGAGATTTGAAGTTGCCATTTGTTTGACCATTCTGATACATAGTCAAGGTCTTTTTGAAGGGTAGCAGTATTGTTGTTGGTGTTGAATACAGTTGGAGATCATGGAGTTGGTGAACTTTGAGACTGTTAGGAGCTATTATGGATAAATATCAATTTCTCCATGTTTCTGTGACATAGAATCCATTGCTCTTATTATTTGAGATCATGTTCTGCCTCCAAAGCTCGTAGGTACTATTTCGGGTTGAAATTAAACTGGATGGGGACAGTTCATAAAAGTAGCTTGCCATGCTTTATACCTATTTACAGCTCCATTTGTTTCTTCTGCCCAATCTGTTGAGAATGATGGAGTGGTGATCTTAATGACTTAGCATTCCTGCATTGCAGTAGTTCCCTGCATGTTTGCCTCAAAATAAAAATAGAAATTATGCAGAAAATTGGTTGTCTGCATTAGCTAGAATGAGCCAGCAGAGTGCAATATGGCACCACTATTGGTTATGCACTGAAACTTTCAAAAACATTCCATTTCTATATGCAATTGCAAACAGAATTGTGTTAAGCAGGAAAATCTACATGCAGACCAGAGTCTCAACTCATATCCTGAAGGCATATCACAACATAAAGCAAATTTTAATTCTGCCTACTTATGGGTGATTCAACAGTAATGGATAATGTGAACACTAGAAGAGATAGAAAAAGAAAAGCCTATTCATAATGCCTTTTTTAGACAGGGCCCTTCTTCACTAAATGATAGATAAGCCTATTAGTGAACAGAACAATGACTCAGCTCTCAAGTTACGTTCCATTTTCATGTCACAGGGCATGCTTTCTTTGATTATTTTTAAAGTTTGTATGAATATTCATATCCCATAATCCAATATTTGTTCATTTTTAAATGACTATTGAAAAAAAATACTTGAGGCATAGAAAAAGAAGATACTGCAATATACACTATCAGCTTTTTTAATATGTTCTGAAATGGAAAGAAAAGTTTGCATTCTCTGTTGTTAGGATCCTTTTGAAGTTTTCTCATTCCTCTAAATAAATAAATA